TGGAGTGTAGCTGATGACATCAAGATAAGAGTCTTGGCACTCATTAGTGTTTAGCCCAGACTGAACCTTTTTCATGGAAATATCCCGACTGAACTGTCCAAGATAATGGGAATAGCACATGTGGGTTCTTTCAAGGGTGGAATTCTTCTGACTTAATATGTGAAAGCAAGACATGAAGGCCACAGTTACAATGTGTGGTGATGTTCAATGTTACATGTGTGTTGGAAATTCCTAAAAGACATCAAACGAACTTGGGAAGAAGGATGAATCTGACATTAACTGAACTATTTGTGCTATTCATGGTGACGAGGATTGTCTTTACTTTCAGCACTGTTACGTTGCTCACATTGTAATATATTAAGATGTTGTTTGCAGAAATCATTTTAGCAATTAACCTGCATGCCATTTGTTGTTTGTTCACCAACCAAAGTGTCCAAAGCTTTTGCTCATTATGAAAAACCTTAGAAGTAAAGTTATGCAACTGGTTATATAAACATCTTTTAGTTCTAAACTGAAATAAAGAGAAATATCTTAAAACCTTGAACCTTGCTGATTGCTCCAGTAACACAAAGTACAACAGCATAAGTCCTGCAGTTATTCAGTTAGTGTTGGACGATGTGACATTTTGACTTGAAAATGAAACTTGAAAGATAAATGGATCACCAAAGCTGTCAGACCTCATTTTGATAGGAACGAGGATATCTGTGCTAAATACCATAAAAATCCATCCAATAGTTGTCCAGTTAGTTCACACAAAAGCCCATTGAAGAGGAGGAGAAGTCAGGGGGTTAACCAAAGCCATCATATCATCTAAGGAACCATGAATTTCTGTCCAAAACTTGGCAGCGATCCATTGAGCAGTTGTTGAGATATTTCAGTCTGAACCAAAGTGGTGGATTACTTAATATCATCTTGGCAGGAAGTCATTTAACCTCCACAACTGTACTCTGACAATTACGTCTTAACAACTGGTGACAGCGGCTTGAGAGAGAGAATAAAAACCAGTTGATCTGGACGAGGTCAAAACACTGGTCTGGAGAGAAAAAACAGAGTTTTCTTCAAGGAACTTTCAAGGCTTTGTGGAGACCAGCTTATAAGCACATCTGCTGTCATGGCTGACATTTTCGATAGCGCTCTTTTCACTGCAGGCTAAAGGGGTGAGTGTCAGAACCGCTTTCCTTGAGAGAGAGCTCCGTGGCATTAGCAGTGACGTTAACTGGCTGTGAACTACAGGAAAGCAGAGCAGGACTTTCTTGTAATTGAACTATGCACTGGGGTTAACCAGGAAGCTGCTGCGCTGAATAGCAACAGGTGCTACTCTGCTCCTCACATTGTGCTGCCGCTTTCATGTTTTCACTTCCTGCAATATGCAGGAATTGTTCGTGAGTAGCTCAGTCTATAAATGTTATCTTCAAGTCTCCTCCCACATTTTCTTCTGTCACATCAAGGCCGTCATCCACCCCATCCTCCCGAGGGGTCCCAGGAATTCCACGTCAATGGGTGGAGCCATGGCTGAGACGTTTTTACTTCCCATACACGCAGTGAACACAATGGGCCAGATCCCACTGGAGTAAAGGCTATACAGGGAACATCAGAGGCTGCAGAGAAAGGCAGGAGAGGAGCGCTTCCACATCTAGATCCCATCTACAGAATAAGTCTTGATTTCTTTGTGCTTGGAAAAGGTTTCTTGGTTATTGCTGTCAAACCTTCAAGCTTAACTGCTGGATTGAGACCTATTTTGTACAAGAACAGGATGTTCTCGCAGAATTCAATTCACTGTTCCCACTGTGATGCTGCACACCTCGTCTGCTCTCACATCTGACTGCAGGCTGAACACGAGCTCACAGACCGCTGAAATGTACTTTAATGATACGAGACTTTGGGCCTGATTGCAGGAATCCACCGTAAAACTAAATCATTAGATGAAATGTGCACAAGTGCTGAGCAGATGTGCATTAATACTGGGCTGGAAATAAGGATCCTTCATTAAAAAAACACATTTTGTCAAGGCTGAAGAGTCTGCAGATTTTTATCTCATCAACTGGAGAAGAAGAAATTTGATCCCAGATTCACGAATGAAACTTAGTGAAAAGGGAAATTCGATTGTCCTCGATTTGAAACAGCTTTATAACCTCATGTGTCTGGCTAATTGTCCAACCTTTAAACCGTCACACGTCCTTGCAGTCATTATCATCTTTAACATCTTTTTAAAACCCTCCCTACTGAAGCCATGCTGCTTGTGTTGTCATTCTACGAGACGCTAATGTGGACATCAGGCAGTGCGAGAAGCTGCTCACTTATCACTGCAGCTGAACACCTCCACATCCCGGCCGCTCAGCAGGTGACAGACGGACGTATGTCCACTGAAGGGGAATGGGCTAAAGCATGTCAATAGACAGATTTTCTGCAGGCGTTTCTCTGATCTAATCTCCTCCTCAATCTGGCTCTTGGTTTCTGCCGGGATGCAGGTAAACATGTCAGGTTTAGGCAAAGTTTGGAATGCGCCGAGCAGGAGACTGCAGCAGAAAGCTGGAGTGCTCAGACGGTTGTACACTGCTCTCTGGTGGAGAAACGAAACCAGTGTAGGCAACTGGAAAATGCACAGATCTGTTGTACTTACAATAAATGACTGATAAACAACCTGAAGCACGTATTTGCAACAGATTTTAAACATAAATTTGTGAGCAATCCATAAGCACTGGCAGTCACACTTAAAAAAAAATAGATAAATAAAATCAAAACAGCATTTTCTATGGTTTCAGTTTAATGTGCTTTATTTACAATAATGGAATTTACATTAGACTATACAACTGATTTTATTTCCAAAGCTTGCACCCACACTGTGAGTGACAAATAGTCTCCTTCCCCACATCTGGCAGCAATTTACAGATGACACTGTCACCACAGCGCTCTGCTTTCTGACAGTTTCATCAGTCACATCAGTAACATCAACCCACACAGCAGGTTCACAAGTGAGCAGGCACATCATTTTTTCAGACAACTGTTTTCATGTGATTGCTGACAGGAGCGTAATGCATGCAGAAAATCTACCAACACAGGCAAATAATATCAGAACTTTAGCACAAGACATGAAAGAGGACGGTGCAGAATATACAAAGAACAAACTGGTGCAGAGCTCATTTCCTAAATCCCCCATGCCAGCTCAGCAGGGACCAGCAGCAGTAGCTCACTGGGGCTGTCAGCAGCAGTCAGCACTGAGCAGCTAAAGATCTCTGATGCTGAAGACAAGACCTCCCTGGAAATGCGACTGAACAAACACCAGACCGAAACCAGTCACAGCATCGACTGGCCATTAACCAGGAGCCTGACAATCAACACTGAAGATGTGGGTGAGAGTTTTGAGTAGGAAAAAAAACAAAAAACATGAATAGATGTTGTGATAAGAGTCGCTTTTCAAAGTGTAGAAAAGATGAATAAAAGTGACTGACATGAGCTGTGACACTGTTGACACAAAAAAGTCACCAAACTTTTCAAAGAAAGATGTTGAAGTGTCACATTTATCAGCTTAAAGCACTCGGTGTGGAAGTTGGTAAAAGCTTATAAGTGCATGTGTGTAAACCAAAACTAAGGAAAAAGAGGACTGACATTATTACACAAATGAACAAAAAAGGAGGGAGGCCGGTTTAACATAGTAGACTTTATAGTTATTGCTCATTTTTCAATACTCGTCCCGAGTTGGGATTTTAAACATACAGTTAAAATATCCAGCTTTCATTCTCATTATGTCACAATGAGATACTCAAAAGAAAATACATTTTAATTACGATGCATAAGGAGGGAAAAAATAAACCAGCTGAAATGGTCACAGCTTCCTTTTAGCCAAAACTTGGGCTCCGGTAAAAAAAAAAAAGTTTTTATATCTGTAAACAATTTGATTTCAATTGTGAACAAAGCTGATTATTCAAATGTAGAACAATGGTGTTGTATTTTACAGTTTCTATTCCATATGCAGCTTATTTCTCTGTCACTGTCTACACGAGGAAAACGAGGGTCTGGGGCGAAACTATTCACACATCTGAAGATTAAATTGAGAAAACAAAACGAGTGAAGCTCTCAAAGTTAAGTAGATGCTATTTAAGTTTATCTGTATTATTATTATTATTATTTGCAGTAATGTCACCAGAATGGCTTTTTGTGCATTAAGGTTGTATAAGGAAGTGATGGTTGAACCCGTACTGAAGGAAAATGATAAAATATTAGAGAAAAACATTTATTGAAAAAATCAAAGGGCTGCCCGTGTGGGTGTGTAGTGCCAGATTTATTTCACATAATTAACATTTGTCATTACTGCTTTTAAACTTGTGTATTAAATGTAGGTAGTGGATCTATGAATGTTCATTTACTTTCCCTATTTTTTCATTCTGTATCCTGATTTTAAAGTCTTTAATATAGAGTGTTGACCTTTGACTTCCTTGTACATGTACCTGGACTTGGTAGACGAGTACACGAGGTGTGTCAGGAAAGTTTCAGGACTGGTGTCACAAAAGATAGATTTCAAATCCAAACAACAAACTACAAGTTTTCCCCTTCAAAGCAATCCCCCTGGATGCTAACACACTTTCCCAGCCTTCTCTTCACGCCGCCATGCACTCCTGGAAGGATTCTTCCAGGATCCTCCTCAGCTCTGTCGTCACAGCCATCTTGATGTCGTCCACGTCTTCAGAACGGGTCCCTTGATGACCCCCTTGAGCTTAGGGAAGAGGAAACAAATCCCCACAAAGCCAGGTGGGGTGAGTAGGGAGGTTGCTCCAGCACTGTCAGATGCTCAGGGCGTTGTGAGCAGGCGCGTTGTCATGGTGAAGCAGCCACGACTTATGCTGCCACAACTCTGAACAAAGCTCATGCTGTAGGATCTCTTTATAGATGCGCTGGTTGATCGTCTGAAGGGGAAAAAAATTGCAGTTTGAAATACATCTTTTCTGACACACCTCATATTCTGTCTCGTGGCAAATGAGGCACAATGAAGGACATATCACAGATCAGTTTAAATAAAAATTACTTTATTACTTTTTTAAAATAAATGCATTTTTACAGTCAGAAAACAGAACAGCAGGACATGCACCGCTGCTCCCGACACTGGAGGCAAACAAAAAACCACAGAGAAAAATAAAGAAAAAGACACAGACTTGGCTTGGTTTTCTCTTATCTCTGTTCAGTTTTTTGCTGATTTGTCTCAAACTCCAGGGTCTCCTTCATATGGACATTTAAAAATGGCACGCTTCAGTTGTGACAAAAAAAAAAAAAACGTTAAGTGGAGTATTTTGAAAAAGGCGCTGAGCGAGTCAAATTTGCAGTAAAAATGCACATGAAATATTACTGTCAGTTTAAAAACGAGCTAAAAATGCAACTCAGGGCTGCAGATGGACATAATTAGCACGTGCTAGAGGATGAAGCAGAACATTAATGAAACCAAGCACAAATGCAAGAAGAACAGGGCACATTGAAAAGGCATATATATCTGTATTTTAGAAAAAAATATGTACTCGACAAACATTTAAACCAAACCTGGAGTTTGAGACTAGTGTTATCTTCATATATATTCATATATATCTTCATCTGAAAACTCAGTAAGACCACAACATAAGCAGGCACAATTCTGAATACTACACATGTTGACAGATGGCTTACCCCCTTTTTTCTAAAAGAAAAAAACAAAACAACCTCCGAACCCCCCCCACCAAAAAAAAGCAGAAAAAAAAACTGTACAATTCTATAAAACGTTTGTGTTTTTACATTAGTTACAAAAAATAATACTTCATTTACTGATCCTTCATACTGAGGACAGAACAAAACAAAGAAAAGTTTGCATATTCATTCTTAAAACTCTGTGACCTTTTGCTGGTGTATATTGATAACAATGATACTAATAATACTATACGGTGTGAGGAACAGAATAGCGTTCATGTAGAAGGTGGTACAAGGGAACTGTGTTAGTGTCTCTCCTGTTGTGTAGTGTACGTGCACCACGCAATGACATGTTCCTGGTTTGGAATCTCTGGATGCTTCTGAAAACATGCTGCTGCTATCGGGCAACTTAAAGCTGTGGTGAGAAAAGCAGCCGTACGCAGACATGTTTGGTCAAATATGAATAAATGCTCTTTGATGCATCGTTTGTGCACTTCCACGTCAGAGGGTGAGTTTTTAAAAACGTGTGGAAATGTCATCTTCAAAAGTCATCTTATATCTTTTAAGACTCAATGATACCGTTGAAAACAAGTGTAACAGCTGCCAATGGGATGAGACATGTTCATCTACTTTAACATCCCAAGTGGCAAAGTGTTGCTTTAAAGGAACAACAGACTCAATGACTTTTGAAGATTTCTGCAGAAAGAACATTTACATCAGTTGGAAACCAGATTTTCGAACCAACGGGACACTCATCCCACTGAGCTGTAGTGTGTTTTCAGACGTGCTCACTGTCGGCTGTCTGTTAAATACAAAGCAAGTCTCACAATGTCACACCTGTCAGCTGATTTAATGGGGAGACTCCACAAAGAGGACACAAGTTGTGAAACAAAGGCAGACATCAGAAGCAAAAAAAAAGGAAATGTAACAACAGCTTATTCATAAAGAGGACTGTATAATGCAGAAGTGCTTACATGTGACTTCAAAGAGATTAAACCTTTCATAGAGTGGACAGGATGGACGCAGAGAGCTGCGATGAATGGCCACTGCTGTTACAGACACCCTTTTGATTGGACTCTTTGATGAAGTCCGTCTTTCTGGATAAATAATTACATGTAACAGTAGGTATCTGTGGCACTTTAACGTGTTCTAATGATAGTTTGATGTCAGCTCTTTTAGTCCAGTTCTAGAAGACAGAGAGAAGAAGGACAGTGAAGACGAGAGAAAGGAAGAAAGAAAAGAGAAAAGAACAAGATTCTTTGGGATTAAATCTGATGTTTGATTGGTTTTAAAGGGTTGTCATGGACGTACGTTGGTGGCCATCAGTCCAGGAGGAGAGGAGGCAGGTGGTCGTAGGACAACAGACGAACTTCATGTCAGGCTTCTGCTCAGCCACAGGAGTTCATCTGGACTGCATCCACCACAATATTAGTGTAGTAACAAATGACCTTGCCAGCATTAATGCAAAAAAACACCATAATAACAATAAAAAAATGTTGTCAGCCATGGCAATAGTCGTGCTGCTCTGGATTCTTCAGCGCAGCCCCAAACAATTAAAAAGACTGAGAAATAGTAGAATAAAATAAACCCATACAATGTAGTTCCAACCCCCCCTCCCCCCCAGCCGCTCCCCTCCTGGCCCCTGACCTACAATCACTGAACCCGGGTCAGCTCAGACCCAGCCGCTGGTCAGCTTATAGAACATTTCCTCATCTAGAGACTCGTTCTGGTCCTTGGCACGCGTGGACAGGAAGATGTAGCCGCCGATGAACTCGTGGACGACCTTACAGTCCACCTCGGCACAGATGAAAGACAGACTGGGCTCATCGGCGAACTCCACAGTCACCTTGAAGCAGAGAAAACAGCGCGTCAGCCATGACTGGATGATAAATGGCAAAATATAATCGTGTTTCCTGATGATGTCTGCAGACATTATGCTGCACAGTGCTGCAATTTGGTTATTACTGGTGTTCTGTATTTCATAAATAACTTGGGATGATACCAGGAGGTGCAGAACTAGTTAAATCTGTAAAAAACAACATAGGACTACTGTCTTTAATAACCTGTGATTCTAGACCAACTTTTCTAAAACCTTCAGTGAGGAACATTTTCATTATCTAAACTAAATTCAACTTCCACTTAATGTGGAAAGTTTACTAGTTCAGCCAATCCAACAAAGCAGCTCTGTGCCGCTTTCAGACACTTTTAGCTACAGGCTTCTAGAGGCACCATCAACCTGGGTTGTAACTAATCATTTTTATTGTCGACTTGTCAGATACTTTCTAGATTAAACAATTCATCTTTTGGCGTGTAAAATGTCAAAAAAAAAAAAAGGAAGAGAGTTCAAAATACCTCTCACAATCATATCCCTGATAAATTATTTGAAATGTCTTTTTTATGTTTCAAAACCGAAAGATATTTAATCAATTTTCAAATGAAACTAAGAAAACCAGCAATAATTTAAATAGTTCTTAAATGATGTTGCTGGTACATTTTATTAATAATCTGTTTATATATAATCTCTTATATATACACACACACAACTTTTTACATATTCAGTCGTGCTCCTCTAGACCTCTAGAGAGACTGTGACGTATAAAATAAGCAGAGTTCCAGTTTAATCAGATCTAAAAACAGCACAGCAAATAACTGAATAACTTTCTTTTCCTGTGGGCTCCCTACCATCTTGATCTCCCAGTTGACGTTCCACTGTTTCATGTTGCTGAAGCGCCAGGTTTTGATAGCATCGCCAGTGCTGGCATCCATCCGGATCAAACGATTGTAAGTGATACCAATCAGCTCCTCCCGCTTTCCTCCCTGGAACCTGCAGAGAGGAGAGAGAGAGAATCCACTGTGAAATCACTGTGAAATGAAATGAAGGTGTGCAGATCAAATGACCAAATGAGTCACTGTCACACACAGAACTGACGGAGCGGATGAGAGGGATGTAAATATGAAGCTGCATCAGCAAATTATTGAACTTTCTGTCACAAAACATACTTTGCAAGGAAATGAGTGATTCCAAACTCGGGCAGGGACTGCCATGCCTGAATGAAGCGCATCTTGGCCTCGATGAGACTCATCTGGGCCACGTTCTGGTGGGCTTCAAGAATCCGAGCTGAAATCTGACAAATACACAAACACACACATTACACACTGAGCTTTTTAAAACACTCCTGCTATATCAGTGATCACAAACATTCCCTATCATAAACAAGAGGATCCTATCACCACACTTAAAACATCCATTGTAGCCAAATCTGCACACACCCCATGTGTAAACAAGCTGCGGCTAACTCCATAAAGCCATCAGAACACACAGTGTCAGCCAATAACCAGAGACGTTTCACAGTAAACGTCTACTTCACACAGCTACACAAACAAATATAAATCTATGAGCCCCTTGAGAAGCCAGACTAAAGTTAATGAGCTGAGAGGAGCTTTTAACCTGTGTGAGTTTGCATGCATGTGTCCATGCATGTGTGTATCCCCCCTACATTCCCTAAACTTTTGTCCTTTAAAGCTGCAGCCTAAACCTTCTTGTAAACGAGATGAGCAGACCAGCAGAAATCCAAAATGATTGTGCCGTCCAAGATAAAGATTCTACCATCTCTGTATGTATACTTACTTGAACCATATTTGGGCACTTGTCTTACATTTCAGCATCAGTTGTCAGTAGTTTCAGTTCATGTGAGTGTGGTACAAAAATCATTTACCCTAAAATAAGCAGTCCATCACAGACACATTGATAACTTTTGTGCATCAAAACGTTGCAGTGTAGTGGCAATAAAATTTTGAAAACCACTTCAAAGCTTCAGAAGTGTCTGTCCTCCTGTATTGCAATAAAATAAGAAAAAATATTAATTTACTGTAAAGGATCGCTTACTTTTAGCAGTTTCTACTCTCTGCTTTTCACAGACATGAACTGAAATCAGTATCAGTCTACAAGGTAACCGCATTATTTGAAAACACATTAAAGCACTCGGCAAATCTAAAACCCGTTGGTGTGCACTGATGAATCAGTGGCATTGAGGATAAGTATATGGAATGCATGTTAAATGGGCTAAAACATGCAAGAGACCTGCACGGTACATTTATTTTACAGAACATCTCAAAGTGTTTTTATTTTTGTTGCATGTCCAACACAACATGGATTTTCCAGTGTTGCTGCAGTACAGTCATGTGTTACTTTCTCTTCCACTGGAAACACGTTAGCGCTAACGACAAGCAACATACAGAAGCTATCAAGTAGGACATTATCTTCTCTACTGCAGCAGCCACTAGAACCTGCTATAGCTACTTATAGTTAGGTGAGATAACCCAGACACAAAAAGTGTTCAGAGTTTACAGAATCATGCACGTATCTAAGGCTTAACGGCACCCAGTGGACGCATAACTCAACTTACCAAGTCCCTGATATAGCCTGGCTGAAGAGGGGGAGGTGGGTATGAGAGGATACAGAGGAATGAAGGAGATGCATAAAAGAGAGAATAGAAGGGTTGGACAAAGAGAACAAGCAAGTAAGATCACTGTTGAAGGAGGAAAGATTAAAAGAACAATGCAAGAGGGCATAACTGTAATCAAAAGAAACAAAAGTAGGAAAAAAAAGGTCTGTGAAGCTGAGGAGTCATGCAGTAATTCAGCCACAAGGAGGAGAGAGTCAGATTGTGCATAATTTAAAAAAGAAATGAGGAAAGGTTACGCAACATTGGTGTGGTTGTACATTTAGGGAGGAAGGCACTGGAGCTATACATTTCAGATAACATCTGTTTATTTTTACAAAATAATAATGATCTGTTTCTTTGTGATTCCTCTTTCATCCACAAGATGGCGATATATACCAACATCAGCAGAAGCAGATTGCTGCGTCTCTAAGCTCCAGAGGTTCTTTCTTGTGCCTTCAATGTTTTGTTTTCTGTGTATAAGTATAAATATGGCCAGAAACCACTCCGGCTCACGTAATCTAAAAAAATCCCTGCGTGTGCATCCGCTCGCAGCCGCAGCACGGAAGTCTCCTCGGACAAATCTTGCAACAGGAAGTCCAGTTTAAAGGAGATGGGGAGGGGTCGCAGCTGACTAGAGAGTTAACGGGCTTTTCCCAGACAGTTTTCCCGCGCAGCATTCCCAGGCACGGCTCATTTCCTGGAGCCCCCCACGCCCACCGCACGGGTACACAAGTGTGTGAGTACAAGGGTACAGACGCACAGTGTACATACACCATTGCTCTTTAATGTTGTGCCTGGGGAGAGCATCTATCCGAATGGGTTTGAGTGCGAGACTGGAATTGAGCCAAAAAGAACCACAGACAGACACACATCCTGCTGGGCTAATACTACTAATACTCAAAAAAGGAATCAAACTCCTGCTTCCTGTTCAGGTTCGTCTCTGTTCCAGGCCATCTATTTTGCCATCAAGGATTTCTTTCATTAGTTTTTTCTTAAAAACTGAAGATAGAAACAATGACTTTGTTAGTATTTAACAGCTACATCTCCAACTAGGTTTGGCAACATGCATAGGAGCCACAGTTTTCAAATGTTGACTAGTCTTTAAGTACAGAACATGTTTAGGGAGCCTCTTAACTGAACTCTACGGCAAAATATAGAGGATCAAAATCCAGTCAAACTAAAGGTAACCAAGACATGGATTAAAAATTCTGTTGTCTCTCCCAGATTATGCCATATTGCACCAGATTCATGAACATTGCAATTTTAAGTGAACAATGATTGGTCCCTTAAATGTATTTCAGGGGGTTTCCCAACTATTCTAAAAAGAGAGAAAGTAAGAAACAGTGGGAAGGAGGGAACTGAAACTTTACTATTTGTTCTTTACTTCTGCAATCCTGGGTTATCTGTGACTTTTAGCTGTGCTGTGTGTGTTCAGTCGGACCACGTCACATGCACAGTTCCTGTACAAAATGAGTATCAACTGGAACAAGTGCCTGCAGTATGCAACTGTATTTAATAACATGTCTCTGGTTCTTTGTTGTACATCCCTTCTCGGCCATATCCTGTTTCACATCTATTCTCACTCCTCTAATCCCTCATTTCTGTCTACATCTAGTTTTAGACAACCATGATATTTCAGGCTATGGTTCAGACCATTTCTGAGTCACCACTTACTGTACCAACAGCCTTCCAACATCCTTCCAGCCCCCTAGCAACATTCCACTTTTCTACTACAACTTAAACAAATCCAGATTGAGTGAGTAAGCTATGGGGAGGCAACCGCCTCATTCACCCATCCCCAACTAACACAGCCATGGCAGCCGTGTACTCAGCTGTTCCTGTGTACACACACACCAGCCTATTGCTTACATGCAAATCTGCCTGGCACATTGTAGACTCTCGCTAACGTTTAAAGGAAATTTAATTCATTTGAACTCATCAAACATTCCAGTGGGTTATTAGGATGTCTACCGGTTGTGTTCAGACCAACATATTCTCATTTGTCGGTTCAGATAGGTATCCACAGGCCAGTGACTCTCCAACCCTTTTGTCTACAAGCACAAAGGCTCAGAGCCAAGGTGGGGATATTGTTACAGTCTGACATAAGCACCTCTACAATACGCAGCGGTTTGGACGTCTACTGTCCTGGTTTCCCCTCAGACAGAGGGAGGTGGGAAGAAGAAATGGAGGGAGGAGGAAAGTAAAGAAGGGGGAGTACTAGGAGGCTACATTCCAGTGCAAGACAACTGATGCCAGGAGGCAGTCATCTGGGAAGCATCAGATGCTTCTTTATCTAACTCCACATCCAACTCATTAAACAGGTAAATGACGACTCGCAAAATACACATTATATCAGCTAAGCTACATTCTTACTTCTACCTTTTTTTTTCTTTTTACATTCATTGTTGCTGTGAGCAAACCTATAGTGCAACCAGATGTTGTATGTTGAAGTTCCCCACAGATAACGTACCTGCTTGTTCTTGTACTTCTTCAGGTAGCGAGGAGACACCAAGCACTCTGGGTTGATGTCGGTGGTGATTGGTTCAATGAATTGTGGGTCAGGGTTCATGTGCTGCATCTTGAGGAAGGACAGAATATTCTGGACCTCCAGGTTGTACGAGCTGTCGGCCATGGTTTTCCCTTTGGAGGCCAAGCGGCATGCAGCCATCCAGTGGGCATACTGTTTCTCCTGGAGATTGAAAGACATTAAACTTGATTAAATACCTCTGAAGAGATAGAAAATCAAAGCAAAAGGTGCACTGATTTCATCCTTACCGTGTCACACCGAAGCCAGATCTCGTTCATGCCATCGGCCACAGGGATTAGCAACTTGATGTTGAATTTCTGACCCGAGATGTTAACATCTGGCGTTACCTCACAACCTGCACATAACGAAGTCAGAGTGCAGACAGGAAGGAGAGGTCAAAGGTCACACCCATTATTTAGACACCAAGTAAGATAATAAACTTATAACAGACAAATAAAGCATCACATTCCAGCATGGGCACAAAATGACACGTTTTGTGTATAAACGACTGTATCTGCACCTCTTAGATTCATTTGGTGAGCAGGTGTCCCATGTGCCTCCTCTTTGCTCTTGTAACAGGAAATTGTGATGTCCTTGAATGTGCACCAGTATTGCTTATAACCCTTCAGCGTCAGTTTCTTGGGTCTACAATGAGATATAACAGATAGAAGAAGACATGTCAGAGTTCAGATGGAAAAAACATCCATTTTCTTTATTGGTGGTTGAGAGGAAGAGCGGGGGAGGGGATATTATAAGTGAGTACAAAGGAGAGAGAGAGGCAGAGAGGAGGGGGGAGAGAAGGAGAGCTTCTCAAGTGCAAAGTCAGCAAAGTGAATAGGAAAGGAGCCAGCAATGTGGAAAAGCATTAAAGAGGAAATGCCCCTTGATATCATACCCCCCTAGTTTTTAACATTTTATGAGACAACCACACTAGGGGCCACCTGCCTGTCAGCAAAGGCTTCAAGCCAAAAATGAATATGATTCAAAATATGCTTGGTCCAACTATAAATACTCCGAAGAGGCAAACTGAAAGCTCAGCCTGCAAATGTTCTCTGGCAAACAATCCAACCTATTACACTGATGCAAAACAGGCATCAGTTCTCTCACTTAGCCAGAAAACAACTCACCACCTTTTAGATAAAAATGCAACCTTTGCATGCAGTCGCATACAGTTGTAGAGGTTTCTGATAACAGAGATAGAGGGATCAGGTAGCTAAGCAGGTGAACTTACTTGAAGACTTTGACATAGTCTGCGAGTTCAGGAATAGATGTGATGTCACCCTGGAAGGAAAGAGAAAAACATTACATTTCCTAATTTTTAAAATCATTTTAAAGAATAAGAACATGGTTAAACATAACCAAAACACTGACCTTATGCTCAACTTTGTACATTTCCAATGTCATTGCTCAGCAGAGCATGCTAAAGACAACACTTCTTTTGTAATAAGCCCAGTTTCCTCTGATAAGCTATATAAACTGAACAACTTTTCAAGGTAGGGCTGTTGAAACAGTGAAGATTTATTTTCAGTCTAGCGATATGAAATGCAGCCTTTATGGGACTGGTAGTGTCAAATATTTTACAAACCCAGCTGTTTGTCAGATGCAGGCCTTAAAAATAACTGTGTAAAGTTTTGCACTTCCAGTGAACTGAAGTATGCATTGTCTATGTACATTTCCTCTCCCGTTTAATTACCACTGATGAAAGGAGACTTCATCAGAATGGAAAATAAAGGCACAAAGGCAATGCCAAGGCCTCACAATTGGTAAAACAAATTGACATAATGATGCCAATTTAGGAAACAGCATCTAAGCAAGCCCAGTGTATGTATTCCACATCCAAAACCAAACAGGTAATGGTGTCAGTGTGGTCATACCAGTGTGTTGGATGTCTTCCCACCCTCCAAAGTGATCTCCAGGTCTGACAGGGCGGCATCTACCTCATCCACCTCCTTCTCACTGTTGTTCATGTGGTTGTCTGAAGACATGATCGACAACTTGTTGATGTGGTACTAAGAAGAAGAAGAAAAAAGATGCTGCAGTTAGGTCCATTGGACTGGATTGAATTTAATGTTACATCAGCTTTTCTACTTATTTTTCCCCATTCAGAGATTTCACAATCGAGACATTCATATTGGAACTATATCTTTGCAAACCGTAGGACTTGTACGGAAGCTGTAGTTCAGTGCTTTCTTTACAGCGCTGTTTCAGCTTTGAGGTGAAAAACAAACACTTAAAACTCGGGACTGGAAAGAAAATTTGAAAAGGAGACAGACTTTGCTAGCTAGCTGCGCCAACTGTTTTGCTGATTTCTATAAAGTTTCCTGCTATGTGTGCTACCGGTGCATAAATGCTGCAGCTTCATCTTATAAAAAGGAACTAGTCTGTGATAATTACCATATAAATACTTTAAGATGTGTTGGCATTGATGTTTAGAAGCACCGCCAGTATGCACCAATGAGTTTAGCAGCAATGTTGTTTTTTGGAAGGAGAAGAAGATGAGTAGACTAGTTTCCGGAAGAGGATAGAATGAAGTCATTTGTGATAATGATCTACTGAAAGTAATAAGCTGTGCGGTCTGGACACTGTGTTCTTAACACATCTTTGAAGAGTTACACGCTGTAAAATTGTTTTCACTGGGTACATATGTGAGACTGGTGCAAGAGTTTGGGGTAAGAGACTATGCAGTCTTGTAACAATGGAAACACCAATTCATGAGGATGGGGTCATTACCAAAAACCCAGCCATGAGTCACAGGCACTAAATACAGCTTGTTGACAAATGGTATTTACATTGTCAAGCCATCACGAACCCCCCACGAATATATGAATGAACAGCTGTCGAAAGAGTGAGAGATTCAGGGCAGAGTTTGAGCGAGATATGCGAGGCTTTAGCTGGCTAAGGTTACAAAATGTGGGACAAAGGGCTCGCCTTGACACTCCTCCGCCTCTTCACTGACATTTTGTTTTTAAAAACTACAACCATGGTGGGGGGCTTGTTTCCTGTTTGTTTGTGTAACTGGCTGACTGCATATATTTATCTGCTGAGGTACAAAGTACAACCCGTGCCCCAAGTTCATGACTATGAGATCAGTTACTGTTCCTGACTCTTGATTACCTCATTTCTGTGAACTGCCAAAGTGAAACATCCAGGTAATAGCATGCTAACATCAGCCAGCAACATACTGGATTTGGACAATCATTGCTCTTTATTTAGACCCTAGCATCCCTCAACAGTGAAACCTTAGCCAAAAACCCTGAGCTCATACTACACAGCTGAAACATAGTAGTAGCTTACAGAGTGCGAACAGACAGGTAGCGACACCAGTCTAAACACCCTACTTGGATTAGCATCTCTCTCAGGAAAGAGTAACAGGAAACCAGTTAGGTGTAATTATAACCAGTCCGATAAAAAACACCAAACACCTCAGAGTGTAAGAGGGCTTCTAACGGAATGTGAGCAGGTCTATGAGACTGTGTCTTGCTGGGGCGGGTGGTCTGGGCTGAGGCATGGGGTCCTGTGGCCCAAGATGCACTATAATTACCCTGGGGGTGAGGACAGGGTGGCGTCCACAGGTCTTGGCACCCAGAGTTTATGAGGGTCAGAAATAGCAGGGGCACCACCCCCAGACTACTGAAGGAGCGAAAGGGGTTCACATCTGTACATCACTTCCACTGTTCCCCCTCAATATCTACTTTTGCCGTTTCTCTTTTTCTGATGTTTCTTTGAACTTGTCCCAGAAGAGACACACAGGTGTCCAATATACCAGCGTCTTCAACCTCAAGCCCAGCCAAGCTCTTTATAAATGGCAGCAACAAAGCGCCTCAGGGTTTACAGTATGTACGCAGTCACATGAAGCTACAGGAATAGTCTTGGTCTAATACACAAACATGTATGAAATCCTTGGAATTAAGTGTTGGAACAATATATACTGCTGCAGATTTTACATGTTTCTATATGTAAACAAGAGCTGTTAAAAATGAAAATATAACATTTAATCCTTTTATTTCTTTGAAATAATGAGTCACTTGGCCTTGTTTCCAGACAATCAACATGACACTTCATTTTGTTTCTGTAAGTGAATTACGTCCATTGATGTCTTTAAAATTAATTGCTGTTAATTTTTCATAAAAGATGTTTTTATTTGTTCAAAATCCTTTATTTTTATGCACTGAGGCAGAAATGAAGGGAACCAATTGATGTTAAAGCATATTGAGATGCCCAGTGGGAATATTTGTGATAATGCCCCCATTAACTCATTCTGCAACAATGTACAATAGCCAAGTTTTAGTATGCATGCCGCAGCAGAACTGGCAGCCATATGGTTCAGCTCTGGGCTGCGATCCCATCCAATTCATTAGCTTGCGGTTGAGAAGGCAATGTGCCCACTGCGCCCAATGAAAATAGGACTGCAGGTCTTCAAATTTCAGGCCTTGACAAAGCAATGCTGAAACAGGAAAATTAAGATCAGGCAAGCGCACAAACACACTGTGTTCTTACCTGCAGGGCAGCAAACATCATCATTTCCTCCTCCGTGCACTCAATTTCCTCCAGCAGGATGGCCCACTTGGACTGCTCGTAGAGCTGGTTCACTCGGATGGCATCGTACTGTGGACATAACACATAACTGAACACTCAGGACAACACTCCATCTGGGGAAGCAATAGCTGAAGCTTGTATGTGATTAATGACATCCAGTCACCAAAATATGAAGCAAGCTGACTTTCAAGTGCTGCACTAAAGTGATCAATGTAATTTACTGTACATTATAAACCATACAAGTTATAATGAGAATTACGCTGAATATCCATCCATCATCTATACACCACTTAATCCTCTCTAGGGCCATGGGGGGCTGGAGTCTATCCCAGCTGACTCAGGGTGAAGGCAGGTTCACCTGGACAGGTAACCAGTCTATCACAGGGCCACACTTAGAGACAGACAACCAAGCACACTCACATTCACACCTACGGACAATTTAGAATCACCAATTAACCTCAACATGTTTTTGGACTGTGGGAGGAAGCCGGAGAACCTGGAGAGAACCCACGCTGCACGGAGAGAACATGCAAACTCCACGCAGAAAGATCTCCGGCGTTCTGACTGGGATACGAACCGGCGAATATACATCTGTGTGTGTGTGTGTGTGTGTGTGTGTGTAAAAACACCTCCTTGTAGACAAAGAGGTGGCAGCATAAAGGGCATGATTTGGGTTCTAACTCAATAATGTCATTTAAGCTGCCAGTCTCAGCATCTTGCTATTAAAACATTACAACACAACTCTGGTATTTTTCTTCAAATGATGCAGGGCCATCGAGTACTGCACATTCTCTACAAATGTCCAAAGTGACTATGATGTGAAGCTGTTGAACTGAGTTGTCTGTGGGATGTACCTTCGGGTTGAGGTCAAAGAAACTGTGGTATTTAAACCTCAGCAGCAGCACCTCGTTCTCCTTTACATCCTGCTCCATGAGAGATCTGGAGGAGTCCAACCACCTGTACAGACAGTGAGTATGACGAGTTAGAATATGATGATGTTCTGTCCCCATGCACAGATCTAAATCACATTACACATCGCTATAATAGTCACGACTATGACCAGTTCAACTAAAGCACAAAGCAAAGTTCAGCTCACCCCTGATTGATTTTGGCTTTGTCCAGCAGGGACTGGGGCTTGTAGAGTTTGACCAGGATGTCTGGTGAGGAGATTGGCTGGCTGACAGCAAGGATGCTGGGATTGCCCTCGGACAGGGGGCTGTCTCCAAACCAGGCGGAGGTGGGCGACAGAGGGCTGCCGTCCCTGGAGTCGTAGGTGGGGGTCATAGTCTTACTGTATAAGCCTGGACTAGAGTAGATGCTCCCTGAAAAAACAACAACACAGCAATCAGTTAGTCGTTGTTGTCAGTTGTAAATGAAAGACTATGCTAACTACAACGAACTTATGAAATCAACATTGACATTAATTTGTATATATCTTTTGCCTTATACTGACACTCACAGTTCAATTAAGTGCACATTCACAAATACATCACTACAACAGCATCAAGGGACAAAAGGGTGAAAACACTTCTCAAAAAGCACACACACTTGCAGCCTAGCCAGAGCAGCTAGCAGGCCAACAACACCATGTGACTACCAGCCCATAGTTTGCAGATGAGTGACTTCAACAATGTCTTCCTGCTGATGGCGAGACTGATGTGGATCAGCATGCAGATGATGCACAACATGATCAGGGTCACCCCACTTATTCACAGTCAAAAAACCTGAAGGAATGCACTGCACACAGCAAACTAGTGCACAATTTGCCCACAGGAAAGGCGAAGTGCAAAGATATGGGAGGAGAATATAGCGAAAACAGAAACAGATAATGTTGGGGGGAAAAAAATCCCAAACATAATTGGACATCCGACTCTTTAATAAATTAAGCATTTGAATAGCTAAAATACTGATTTATGTGAATATTTATTCTCTAGTTTTTAAATAAAATCAAAAGATTTTGGCTGCAAACATCAGCCACCAAAGTGAAGCATTTGCATTTCCTGTTGGCTGGCCTTGTGGAGTATTTTTGGCCACATTCCCCTCCATTCCCTCTCTCCCTCCGTCGGGCCTAGGTCAAGAAGCAACACTGGCTCAACCACTAAATCCCTTTTGAGATCAGGAAGTGGGCTTGGTTTGTGTTTGTGAGTGTGCACGTGTATGTTTGTGTTTGCGAGCTGAGGTCATGAGAACAGGGTGCAGGCTATGGCCACCCATCCCTTGTGGGGGAGGGTGTTATTCAGTGGTTCTTTCAAGGTTTTCCTCCAAATGCTGGGTTCATCGGGTCAGGGAGAGTACTCCCATCTCCCATAGGGTCTCTTGAGGAATGCTAAATATCCAGAGAAACCATGTACAATATGAAAGCTGGCAGTCCATTAACAACACTGCTTGGCCTCCTCCATCCTGTTTACTGACTCTCCAATGCCGGAAAAAAAGGCATCAAGAATGCTAACATGACTTTACTCCCCAATGCTCCCACACTGGAGACTCAGAGGGCTTAAATGGAGGGAGCTGGACCACCGTCAGCTGTTAAGACTAAACGTAAACGATGAGAAGACTTGTCAATACATAAAAGTGTCTCTTGTGTATTTGGTTTTTACTCTCACTTCTGTTGGGGCTGTTAACTGGAGCGTGTAGGTAGGATTATAAGTATGTGATTTTGAACACAACAGCGTAGCAATAATGCAGTTTGACCTTCATATAACTTGCTCATTAATAATCACCTCGCTGACCACCTGCTATTTCCTAAAGCAAAACATTCAAAGAGCCAAAAAGTGGTTGGCTATCCTGCACATCAGTCAGCAGGCACAGTGAGCAGGCCTGCAGTAGCTTTCAGAAAAGTGAGCTTTGAGCTAATTTCTAATAGAACGCAAAGCCTTTGTCACAAGACCACCCGAATCAGCTGACTTCCTCTGCAGGAGCAGTCAGGTGACTCGGCTGCTAGTCCCAAAGGTTACAGACGTCATGTGACCTCAACACTCCAGCTGCGGGGTGGGTGGAGGGTAAGGGAGGAATGGGGAGGCGAGGGTGAGGAAGCAGTGCTGAAAAGAAAAGGACAGAGGAAGAGGAAAGCTTACCTTTGACAGGTCCGATGTATATTATCTCAGAGGCTAGGATGAAATGAGAAAGAGTAAGAAAAAGAAAGGCAGAAAAAAAAGTGGAGGAAAGAACAGGAAATAGAACAAACAATATCAAGTGGACAGATTTAAGATACTGAAAACTCGACAAGGTCAGAAGGAAACGGACGAGAGAAGACAAAAGTTGAGGAATATAAGAATGAGGAGACCCGTGGCATTTCCACAGACACTGCCAACTGCTGTAGCCTCAGAGTGGATGACTCAGTCTACCCTCTTTGCAGAGGGAGATCACCCTGGCATGACTAGTGAGGTTCTGTCGTTTCCATCCACCCATTCATAACCATCCAACATGGCATGACTGATTGAAAACCCAGGCAAGGCGTTGGTCAACATGACCCAGTCCTGCACGTATACACTGCAGCACAAATATAAAGCAGTGGCTGTCTGAGGGATGTCATGCTCCACGCTGACAGGAAAGACAATTAGTTAAAAAAGGCACATCAAGGTGGGGTGGCCCCAGCAGGACTAGATGGACTGGCATCATGGGCAATACCATGACAGTCTGAGTCACAATAACAGCTGAGGGTTACTAACATTGTTTTTTCAACCAAAATGGCCAATTCTGTGGGGCGCTTGACATGAGTGTGCAGACAGGCAGCGGACATGAAGTTTCCTAAATGGTACATTTAAAGATAGAGATTGAGGTTTTGGAAAAGGACTTCCAGTCTGCAAGTGGAAATAAATGGTCATGTACCTTTTATGACATTAGTTTTTTACCATCCGCCCCTGTCATCAGCCTCTTAGGTCAGTGTGAACCGCCCTGTCCAGCATGTATACTCTATAAAGTTTGTATATGAGATACTATACAAAGGCTCAACATAATTTTGTTAACAATTTGTTTTATCAGCAATATCAGTGAGAAACAAGATATTAAAAAGATGATGGGAAAAAGACAATAGACTCTTCAAAGTAAGGAGAAGGAAACTTGAAGAAACTATCATTACAGCAACAACTAATGGTTGCTTTGATTATCAATTAATCCAATTACGTTCTTGATCAAATGATTCATTTGATCTACAAACTGTCATGAATGTGTGTAAAAAAAAACAAAAAAAAAACATGCTCCAAACAGGCAACATCTTCAAATGTGTTGTTTTGTTAAATCTACAGTTCAAAACCCAAAGACATTGAGCTTATTAACATGGGTCGATAAAAACAAGATGACATTCACATTTTAGTTGGATCCTCGATTGTTTTTGCTTGAAAAATCACTCAAATAATTAACTGATTATCAAAATTGTAGCAGATTAATATTCTGTTGATTTATAATTGATTAATTGACTAATTACTGCAGCTCTAAACACGATTACATTCTGAAAGAGGAGAAGGAGAAAGGAGAAGGCTGTGGTTTTGATTGCATCTCTGCAAAGCCTTGTGATTTCTATCAGGAGACCTGGGCTAAGAGGCCAGCTCTTACCCACAAGGGACGGAATAACTTCTTCAAACTTGGCCATGAAATACACTCCCAGACTGTAGCATGTGATCTGATAGGGAGGACGGCGTGTGTGTGTGTGTGTGTGTGTGCGTGTGTGTTAGTGTGTGCGCGCATTTACACACAAGCACGCACACACAAACACACAACAAACTGGTGACAGTAAACAGATTCTGCACATTCCAGCTGAAACTCTGTTTCTTTGCACCACCTAATAGTGTGACCACATTCACCCACTGGGAACAAAACATATCCATACCAGAGGCAAACATGTAGCACGCTATTAAAATGCAATGATGCAACTCTGGGTGGGATCCTCATTTGCTTTTGTTAAGTGGCTGCTTTTTGCTTTTGCCTTCTCTCATTATATTTTAATACATGGGCAAAGAGATACTTCATCTGTGGATGGCTTTGCTGTCATCCAAATCTGTGTGTGAGGACAATTTGTTTTTCTTATATGCGCAAAACACGACGGTTCAAGTTGATTGTTCAGGCTTCTTTCGATTCACATGTAAGTATATACAGTCATGTAGTGCACACCAAACTAACTCTGCATAGCAGAGGAGACTCCAGACACACAAAGAGTCCTATTCAACCTGTCTCATGGAGTTAGCAGTGCTGCTTAATGCTAACTCTGTGACAGCTCTCCAGCCTGTTTTGTTCTGCTCCTCCCTACTCATATGGTTGTAACTCTCACATCACTCTCTGAAGGGAGGAGGGTCATTATAACTGCACTTGTGTAGCCTGGTTTGGGTTTAAAATGGCAGCGTGACCAACTATGTGTGGAATCTCAACCATTCTTAGTCCTCCCTGCCAAGGAATTGGGAGCCATGGCTGTAGATCCCATGCAGGCCTCAAACTTACACATTCATATTTGGTCACTAGAGGCAGGGTGCAGCAATCTGGAGTTATCGTAGTGGTTTTTGAACCACAAGCGCAATCAGACACTACAAACACTAAAAAGGAAGACAGATGTTCCATAGGATCCAGCAGAACCTGCTATTCAGCCTGCTGCTTGAGGGAATTGAGTATTATTTCATACAATAAAACAGAAAAACAAAACCTGAATAATCCAAACTGACTTAAAAACAAGACTGGAACCCGAAAGCTTAGATTTAGATTTGATCAAACACATTTCCCTAGAAGTCATTGCTTTGACATGCAAAGTGCAAAGACTTCTCTAATTTGTACTTCTCCAGAGATTATTTCTGATATGAGCTGTAAATTCTATGTGTACATTCTACTAAAGCTAAATAATTCAGCTGGAATTCTTGTAGAAAACACAGTAACAAGCTCTGAATGCAACTCACCTGATCCAGGGGTTAACAGTGGACCCTCCAGCTCCAGATCATCCTCCTCTGCTTCCTCCAACTTTTTCTTTTTCTTTTTGGGGTCACGGGGTTTGCGAAGTAGAGACAGCTCTTCTGGGTGGCGGATATCTGGTTGGGGAGAACAGCAACAAAGTTCATTTGATGTCACATAAACATAACCTTGACTAGCAGCAAAGCCAAGTCAATCTGGACACCAAGATAGGCCGGTTCTGATGTCACAAACTCACTGAAAACATACAGTAATTTGTGTTTTTTCAACTACAGGCTTGAAATAAACCACGTCATCTCGCAAAGCACACAAACAATAAGTAGAAGCTCTATAGTAGGTGAATATAGGGACGCTAACTCATCTTAAATTGCCAAAAATGTGAGAGGCAGAATGGGCGAAGAAGCAAGCCAAAGCAAAGCGACAGAATAGATGGGTAAGAACTGTAGACAGCTGTGCACATGAGGGGTGGAAAATTGCAAATCCCTTTTCTCAGGGCCCCAACAAATCTTGCTTTAACTGTAATCCCCAACCGAGACAGGGCAGACACAACCTTTCTTGCTCCAACTATTCCACTCACACAAATTTCAGTTGTTGCTGGTGAACAGCAGGGCAGCACAGCTTTTACCCCAAAGCAAAAAGCTATTTTTGACAAAGAATAGTTACTATAACTGTCATTGTGGCTCTCTGTGTTTAAATGGAAGAGATATGTGCAAGATTCTAATCAGGCAGTAGGACACTGCACTAAATATAATGACTAAAACAGAGCAGTTTCTATCCCTGGCTGCTTTCTCGACTTTTCTCTCCTTCCCTTGGGCTTGGAGGCCGGGGAACCATCACTCAGCAGCAGCAATGACGTTTTAAGATGGGCTTGGGATGATTCTGATGTAGGGGGTGAGACGGCTGGAATGTGTCAGGACTAGAATAGATGGACCTAGTCTAGAAGCAAGCACATCTGGATGCTCAGCTGGATTCGGTTTTCTCAAGGATTCCGTAGAAATTAAGGAGGGAGCTGATATTTCAGAGCATTATTTCATTATTTCTACTTTGTTGTGCACATAATTGTCCATTTTCCTCATATCCGTTGAAATCATTTACCCTTTCATTTTTTAGAGATGAAGGATTGGAACGGCGTCGCAGACTGATTGAAGAGGTTGCTGTGGGTGTTGAGGAAAGCACAGGCAGAAGGGTCGAGAGAAACGTCTTGGCTTGGTGAGAAAGCTTGTTTGGTTTGTGTAACTAAAGCAAAAGCATTCCAGGAGTTTTAAGAACTACCAGATGGAAGTTCACCCTCTCTCTGTCTCCCTCCTCCCTCATTCTCGCTCTGCCGTAGCAGTGGAGCACAGTCCCTGTGCCCTTATACAGCCATGTGAGTTTCAGGCGTGCTGCTGAGCTTTAGCCCCACTGAGCTATGCGAGGACGCCAATACACACAACGAAGCAAGTACGTGGATAGGACTGTCTCTTGTTTGCAAAGGCATGTGGCCTTCTACTACGTTGTCACTTTAACTGATTAAATCTTATGATCTCATTGTCAAAGAGGGAACTTATCCAGATGACAAATATTAGCCATCTACTGTGCATGATGAATCTGATAAAAGACAACACATCTGTATATTTTAACCCTCTATTTGTCAAATATTTATAAAACCATTAGTAAATCTGATCGTTTTTTGAGGAGTTATGAGAAAGAAAATGGAAACAAAAATGCTTCTATGAAAGTAATATTTCAAACAGCCCTACCATGTGCCTGCAAGTGGGAAATAGGTGGGTGGGGTAAGTAAATTGAGAGATATGCTTTTTCCATCACTCCCACAAAGGGGGTAGTCGATATGATGACTCAACAAGGAGGCCCTTGGATCGCTTTATGTCCCCCCTATGATCCCCACAACAAAAGAAAACATATGTTCAGACTCACAGTACTTATAGTTTGTCATCAAGACTGCTGACAGTTTAAAAGGAAAAAAAACACAACAGTTTTAAGTCTTTATTTAAAACCTATTAATGGGCAAATTAATGCAGAAAGGTACATCAAAATCTAATGAGATCATTTACTTTAAATGGAGAACCTGTGGTGTCAAAATTAAGTTTCTAAGATGGACTGTCACAAGAGAAGTGAAGCAAAGCAGCTTATTAACTAGTGACAGCTTTTTATACCAACATATTTGTTGCAAGGTAACAATTTGAACTTGTAACCTCAACATGTTATGGAGGTACAGCAGTTTCTGGAAATCATTGTTCACCACTGATGAGCAAATTTATTCCAGAAAGGTGCTTCAGAAAGTATAAAGTTTCTACTGTGGATGGTTCTTGAGCTACCGTGTTATAAAGAATGTGTCCACAGAGTCATAGACGCAGACATGACGCCATAACGTCCTGCATGCCATTTAATGTGCAAGCAGGACATAAAAATACAGAAATAAAGGTGACCAAAGCAAGCTGAGCGGAAAACACTAAAAATGTTCCACTAGTATTTTTCAGACAGGCAGACAGGAGTTATAGTTTATTTCTGCTGACATACTCAGTTGAGTGTTGAATTGCATGTTACAGTAATAATTCAAAAATCATGATATTTGGGAATGATTGCGCCTACGCTCACCACATACTTTTGGCCGGTGTCAGGAGAAGGAGGAGGAAGGGTGAGTGATGGTCAGAGTGCTTACAACAGCTTGGTTGATTTCCATTAGCAGGAATGACACCTACACTATAAGACCCCACTCTTCCACCCTGCAGACTTGTGGCAGTAACCAGGCTGGAAGCCAGAGGAAAGGGCTTGACTGAGAGCCAGCTGGGCTCCCAAGATCTACTCCTTGGAACAGATGATTCACTGCAGTGAGTAAGGCCAGCCACAGAAGAATCACAAACACCGTCACAGTCTAATTTTACAACGCGAAAGCTTACCGTACAAACAGACAGAGACCCTACATGGACAAAAAAATTAAAAGAGAAGTGATGTCATCTTCTGTTTTCCCCTTACATACTTCCAAGTGTTATGAAGAAGTGCTCACTGGATTGTAAGAATGACTGATCAATACTCAGGAACAATAAATCAATTGTATATTCCTTGAGAGACTAAATAAAATTACTAATATTTAGTCTCAGTCTGAGAGATAAGAATGCACAGGGTGTGGATATTTGTGTTTAAAAAACTAATTATGAAAAGAGAAGCCAAGAGAAATGCCTGGCATTTAGAATGAGTTAAATGATACTATGACTTCATTCAAATATATAAAGCCTCACAAATCACTTTTTCACTCCAACATCGAGATGAAAAAACATCATATGGCCTTAATGTCTTGGGAAGACACCTGTCTTCATCTATCATACATGATTTTAAAAAGGTGCTAAAAGGCCACCCAAAAATGATAATACTCTATATTAATTTAGGAGCTGGAGCTGAGACCAACCCACAATCCTTCCATGTTTTGACAACAATGGCCAGCACACTTGGGCCTAGTCAAGCGGCCTAAAGGTTGACGGGCCATAACTGTGCTGAACTAAACCGACAGAGTAAAAATCCCCACAAATCCAGAAAGGTTTCTGGAGGACAAAGCGGTCTGACCAATTTCCCGCAAGAGAACTTCTTAACATCCTACTTCAATCTTATCCTCCTGTGCGCTTTATATCAAACATACGCTCTCTCAGTCCCTTTCCTTTCCTGGCGAGTCGTCCGGTCCAGTCATTTATATGTTCCAGCGAATGCTACTGTGTGTCTGTTTTCCCACACATGGAAGTAAAGGAGTGCTTGCACAATACGCTTAAGTGGAGCAGCCTGACTCTTGTTACCCTGAAGTGGTGCTTTGCTGAGAGAGGCAGTTTCATTTTTGCACCACCTCATGCTCCCAGGTTAGTTAGTTACTCAGTTGTGAAGAGTGCATTTTACGTGTTGGCTAACAGGAACAGTTAAACAGCCTGCTGTCAAAAGGAGAGGCAAAATCCTGCGCAGACCTCTCTATTCAGACAGCATTTTACAGCTGAAATCCTAATCCTAGGTGACTGGTTGATTACAGAAAATTATTTGATAACAATTCTGACTATCGATTAGCCATTTAAGTCATTCATCAAGCAAAAATGTCATATTTGTTTGTTACAACGTCTCAAATGTGAAAATTTGCTCTTTTTTCTGCTTTGTATCACTGTAACAACTCATGGGTTTTCAACAGCTGGTCAGACAGAAGCAGCCATCTGAAGAAGTCAGTTTGGGTTCTAGTAAATTATGACCAGTGTTTCTCCCCTTATTTTCCAACATCTATAACATACCAAATATATCCGGGACATTCGCCAGATTTCAACAAATACACAAACATGGTTTCTGAGAATTCTCAGAATTGTTGACAGGGTTCAAAAATGTTATCTTGAACCTAAAAGTGGAAAATCCCTAATGCTTTTGCTTCACTATCAACTAAGCAGCGCAGCACAGGATGTGAGAGCTGCCAAATGCAATCAGAGGTCAAAGCAGGAGTGGAACTGAGCGATGCTCATGTGTAACAGTACAGCAGCCTTTTGCTGAGTCCTCTTCTTCTCCAGTTAGTCAGTCCAGATGGACTGTTTCTGTGGCAGGACACAGCTGCCTTGGACATGGGAGAAACACAGCGGTGATAATTGGTTTCATTCTTTTAACCTGGAGTGTCATGCTGATTTCCAGTGCTTTGCTCCTGTATGGGACGTTCACTGTCAGAATTTGATTGTGCTAAAAAGGCTGAAAACCAGACAAAACAGAATACAAAGATAGAAAAAGGATCAGGATAATGTTACTAGTTCGATCTAAAAAACAGAATGTTGATGGCATAAAATTATTCTCAACCCAAGGGACTAAGAAAAATAAGCAACAAATAAAAACAGAAAAATACAACACTTGAGGATATGGAAAATTGTTTTGAAACAGAAAATGGCTTCTGTGTGGCCAACTGACTAGACACAAGCAGAGTGAAATTAGTATGAGAACTCGAGCTGGAGCCAACAGTGAGCTGCTCATCACTGCCAACAACCTTCACTAGCTTTCTCTTTCTCCGTTTCTACCTTCCAGTATCTCTGCACCTCTGTTTTTGCTGTCTGGAGCAAAGGCCAGTTGGACAGGCCTCGTCTCTTCCTGTCCCATCTGATTCTCTATGCTGTGCAGCTCTCAGGCAGTCAGCAGTAAATATGCACAGGAAATTGTAAAACTCAAATTTGCCCAGATAAGTAATAATGCTTCCAGGGCAGACCAGCTGTAAGTCAGCTGTCATACAGCTACAGTCCAAAAACTTTCTCACTGTCCACTACCAATAAGCAGTAACATACAGTGTTGTTAAAGTAACAGTACACTCACATCACTCTGAGGAGCCCTGTACAGTCACCCCACAACATCCTGCACCATCCTGACACATGCCAAGTCAGCCAAATGCAATTTGCCCTGAATTTCTGTGGAGCTGAAAAAGATTTACTACAGAAGCAGCAGACTCATTCTTAATCCGGCCTGGCTAACAGGCTACAAACCCCCATCTCCCCACCTCTGCTTTCTCAAAACAGCCTCTATGTATATTTATACTCAATAAAATGCACCATTTGCTGTTTGATTTCATAAAACTGTTATGTGGACCTTAAATTAAAAACAAGGTTGAGCACTACCTGTGGCAGCTCATTAAAAAATGGAAAGCTGCAACTACAGCCACTAGTCCTGCCAGCTAAACACAGTCCAGTGACAAAGACACAACAGGTGTGTTGTGACCCTGTCTTATGGAAGGATTTATAGCAAACCCTACTGGAGATAGTGACTGAGAGGCAGGGGTAAGGGGCGAGGTCTGAGTTGTGTAAAAGTGGGTGTGAGCAGGTCAGGGGTTGTTGGGGACCAGCATGTGACCTCTGACACCTCTGTTACAGGACAGAGTGGAGCCAGCCATAGGAGATATCCATAGTGTGTGTGTGTGTGTGTGTGTGTGTGTGTGACCCTTGGGCACTACTTTAAACCATGGGGGGACACTTAAATTTGGATCTGATATTAGCATGAGAGACTTTTGGTAAGCCAGACAGTGAGCAAGAGTTATGCATTTTACTCATACTAGTGTGTGCCAGTGTTTTAAGTGTGAGACAGATTGATAATCTCTGTTTACTAAACATTACTGTGAGACTGATGCAGCCCTGGTTCCAAGGACACGACTTCAGACGACGAGTCCACAGATGTGACCTCAACATGCACAGCTTACAACGTGTTTAATAAACACAACAAACTGCCAAGGATTAAAACAAAGTGAGAGGAAGGACATGATTAGCTATGGTTGATGCAGACCATTTCCAGAACCTTTCCAAAAATACCACTACAAGGGGAAGTTGTTGGTTAAGCAGGATGGGCACCTTCAACAGGGGCAAATGGACTGGATCCACCATTCTAGCATTGAAGCAAATTTCATTCCCATAACTCTTTGCCAATCAGTCACACCTCATTTCACAATGGCTTTATGACTGTTTTCCACAGCTCCACTGAAAATAAAACTACCCAGTATTCTAAGAATGAGTCAATCGTTCCACTTACTGAAAGTTTTGCAGATGTCCGACACGGCCTTGAAGACCCGGTCCGAGAAGTTGACCTTGACCTTCATGTGCTTCATGTTGGGCAGCTGGAGGCGAAGCAGCTTGTGTTGTGGGGTGAAGAGCAGCCTGGCGTCAGCTTGGATGCCATACTTGTCCAACGTCCAGTGGGTTTTCAGCAGCCATGTCTTCTTCTTCTCCCACCACAGAGCATGGTCTGACCAGTCCTTCTTCACATCTAAGACACGAAAAAAAAGATTGGACGAAATGAGTTTTAGTAATTGCATAGTGACCAATATGGTAACAGACAGGCTGCAAAAGAGTATTATTTTACATAATTTAACCTCTGAGGCAATTGACAAAATATTGACAGCAAAGGGAAAGTGTAAGTAGAGCCATCAGTCTGTATCCATCACACTGTACTGACTTTAGCTCACCAAATATGTCCCCTCCAGGGCAGAGGTCATATATGGGGCAAGCTCCAGAAAAGGTTTGCATGGGGGCAGTGAAGTCAAAGTGAGAGGGAGGAGAGGACCGAGTATGTGAAAGATGTGGCTGTTTGCGTGACACTGTGGGAATATCAGGTTCATACCACCCTCTTTGTTCCAAAGTCACACTGTGATCCCTTTAAGCAGACACAAGGCACCCAAAACCCCACATAGCTTCCAGGCTTTTGCTCCACATGGGCTCAGCACAATGGGGACAGCACCAAGAGGTCTGTGGTCTCATGGTGTACGTGTCTGACTTCAAGGGGAAGGTGAAAGCTGCAGAGATTTGAGGGAACTCAAAGCATCTGTTGTACAGATCACCTTGTTCTGGTTTATATATGAGCAGCGGAGCGATAAGCTGAAGTTGTGTTTGAATTGCAAATCACTTCAAAGTGAAAGGTAAAAGTGAAAAAGACAACATCTACCATTCTCAGAGAGTGAGAGTCCCTTTAAATCAATTCTATCTCTTTAACAATAGACTGCATTCACAAAATAGCTTAGTTAATAAGTTCAAGGACACTTTAAAATATCCATGTACCCACACTGTGAATATGCTACTTCTTGTTCAAATGTTAGCATAACCATCTTGTGAGCAGACTATGATAGTAGATGGAGTGGAGTGAAAAGGCCTACAGTTTTTAAGCATTCTACGACTTTAAGATGTCCCCCGAGTAGTGATGTCATTACTCCGGCATTAGTCCAGGAAGGCACTTCCCAGAGTGGTGTCTCATTTCCTCCACCCACATACCAGTTCATTGCTTCTCCAGCTTATCCTCAGTCTCACTCTGGGTCTCTCTGTGCTCTCAGTGCTTCACTGTGCCCAGACAGAGACGTCAGTTTGCTTAGTCATCCTTTAATCAAAGAATTCGATCTAAATGGTTCCATCTCCTGCACTACTGCATCGGTGAGTGTGTTTGAAAGGCCATTTACCCTGACTAGGAAGAACATATTGTCGACCAGATGTTAAATATCTAAAAGCTGTCAACGAGATGGAAAGAGCACAAATTTACATAATGAATTTTGGCATATCATAATATTTAGGTTTCAGTTAGCAAGTACAAAAAGCTTAGGTATGGTACTTCCCTTCCACATATGTTATCATTGTTATATATAATTGGTGGAGGAAAAAATAACAAATGCCCCCGTTTTGAGCTCCACTCTTCATGAAGGACACCCATCTACTTTGTATTCAAGGCTGGTTTATACATTAGATAATGTGGCATCAACTCATTATCTACTGTACATGTTACATGGGGTACATGATGAAGGACACGTCCACTAATGGACAAAGTGGATCCATAATGGAACGGGAATAATTCCGATATCTTTCCAGGTACATGGTGAGCAAACAACAGTTAGGGGTATACAACAGACTTTTACATCAACCTGACAGTTCGATTTTTTCCATGATTACCTAACACAGCTTACTGCTCACTCATTCTATAAATGGAATATGACATCAATGTTAATGACAGAGGACAAAATCCTGAATTTTGCTCACTGCTGACCGCCTCCCTCTATCCATCAAACCGCTTGATGCCATGGTAACCTAAACCTTGAGTGGCCTTCTGTTTTCAAGCACTGCTGTTGTTTTTGCTGACCTTTGCCTAACATAGGGGCATCTATATTGTTGACACTCTCTTGCTGACCCCGTCTAAGGGCTGAATGAAAAGGATTAGCGAGTGAGTAGGTGAAATAACAGATTGTATACTTAGAACAAGAAACCAAGACTACTCTGAGCAAACTGGGCTGAGAAAGAGATTACAATAGCGATTAAGACTGGGAGCAGTAGTCTCAGAAGAAGAGTGGCCACCAGCATCTCAGTGTTGACGTCATTGTGAGAGCCTAGGCCTTTGTGAATTGTCTTGGGGAGGGGTTGTTTGTCAAGCTGTTGGGTTTTATACTGTTTACTCCAACAGGCAAACACTTGGTACTTGAGTGAAAACATTCCAAGCTTTCCGAGGCCCTGTGCGAGTTACTCTGCAGCATGGGGTCTTGCTGTCATCACTCCATTTTGATGCTTCAGCTGTGTCGAACACAACTTCATTGCTACCATCGAAGAGACTGTTTTCTTAAGTTTTCTGCAGTTATTAAAGGCTGAAATAATGAGAGGGAATATGGAGAAGAAAACTGAAAATAATCCTGAATGTATTTTCATAACTCTGCTCACAGTTTTTCCTCCTACAACCTTGTAATTTCTGGTGTCTGGGAGCAATGCAGAACAGCTAGCATTAAGATTTGGCACTCCGGTAGTCACCACAGACCACGTTCTATAGAGACGTCCTCGTACTCAGCATGCATGACCACCATACAATCTGTGGCAAGGCATGAATGCATGTCTTGGCTGGCTTCAGTTACCTTCAGCACGCTCCTTATGGCCCCTGCTTCTCTGTTTCCTTGAGTTTCCTTACTGGACACAGCCTTCCCCTCTCCTTGCTTGTGTCATTACGCAGTGGTTCGATGTGTCCTGATTGGATGAGGATGGCTCAGGAAGGCTTCCATTGGGCCAGTTTAGCAATAAGGTGGTAACCCAATCCACAGAGAGAGGGAGTGAGGGCCAATGGCAACTACCAGCTAAAAATACAGCCTGCCAAGCCTGACGTAATGCAGCAGCCAGAGGAGCGGGGGGCCTAAGTAATTGGGTGCATTAAATGTGGACCCACAGCCTCTTGTTGGAGTGATTTGTGTGTGTATGTGTGTGCGTCGCTTGAAAGACAAGGGGAGGGGAAACAGAACAGGAAAACCATGTTTTATGACCTCTGCGGGACGCGAAAGATGATACAAAGATTGCGTTTCGCGTGCACTGGTCTGGTTATTTGTCGAGGGGAGGGTGTTCTTATCCATCCATTAACCACATTAGATCTCTGCGTTGTGTGTCTGCGCTTTAACGAGCAAAATTAATTCATAAATTCTGCCAAACCAAGTTCTTTTCATTCACCGCCATCACAGCCGCAGCTCTCAACCAAGACCACTTCCCCTTCTTTGTGCACCAAATACCACAACCAGAAATACTGCTTTAAACAAATACACAGATTAATACTGAGATATTTTAGGAAGCAATTAAGAAAAGAAAAAACAAAAAAACAAAGAGAAAGGGCAATCAAATGTTTCAGTGTCAGCACAAAACCACCCGGTTCTAAGGGCTTTCACTAGGATAATATATGAGATCAAACTGTCCCTCCTTTACTCTCCTCCACATCACTCCTCTTCACTCCCTCCATCTCTTCCCTTCTAGTCAGTATCTGTGGTGTTTACATTAGGAGGCAGCTATGTTTATGGAGGCCTGTCTGTGAGGGGGAGGGGACGGGACAACAGAGGACAGGATGAGGAAAAAGGAATGAGAGAAAGGGCATGGCAAGGAGAGATGAGGAGGATGAGCAGAGGACGGGGAGGAGATGTAACTTGGGACACAAAAATACGAGACAGAGCAAGCGATAGCAAGGGTGAGGCAGAGCGAAAACAAAAATTAAGTACCACACACACACACAGACTTGTGAGTTGATTTTCTGATCAACTGAAATGCAAAAAATGCTGAACAAGAAAAGTAGTTTTCTATACTTCATAATTCTCAAAACCTTGTGAAGTCCTGCTGTGATGTGACTGAAGCTGCAACTCAAGTTTTCTTTACTAGACGAATAGTTTAAACATATTTAAACAACTAATATGTAAGACTCAGAACAGCAGCAAATCCTGACAAATGCCTGGAACTGTAAAATGTTTGACATTTTTTGCTTTAAAAAACCTAAATGGCTTACTTAAATGTCAAACTGTTGGAGCTCTCCAGTCGATGTGACACAAGGCTTTGGGTTTAAAGGGCAAAAAAAATAAATCTTTGATCTTGCATGTGGACTTATTTATTAGATTTCACAGCAGTGACAGTCAGCTGATGCCTGAAGCAAAATCCAGGCTCTTTTATAGAATCACTGAGAGAGATGACTTAAAGGAAAATGAGCTTAGAAGTCTGGACTTTTTGCTGCGTTTGTCTCGTGAGCCTTTTTTTCGAAAAATGTTTTTCATTAACCATCAAGGCCCATCTGTTATCCCTCAGTAATAACCATGGCCATGCGGCGCAAGGCTTAGTCGTGTTTAGCCATCAGCTGATAAAAACATTACAGCTGGGTGAGGCTGGTCATGCCGTTTCCTTGGTGACTCCTGGCTGACGCCGCAGGGGCAGCGGTGCGAGGCGATGACTTGTTTTCATACAAAACAGACACAGAGGGACAGGTTTGTCACACGTATTATCTTTCTCTCTCACATACAACATGAAAGCCCCTCTCTTTCTAAATATAATTCCATGTCTGAAGCAGGGTGAAGGTCGGTATTGACAAGCAAAGATACAGCAAGCAACTGCTCTGCACTGTCCTTAAATTAGAGCTACTGTAAATGGCCTTTAAGCACTTTGTGTGTCGTGCAGCCATAGCGGATAGCATCCCCATCAGATAACCGACATGTAACCAACAGGTTCGATAAAGAAAGGTGATGACAGTATCTGTGTGGCAGATATGAGATAAGGATTGAAGTGATGCAATGAACATGTGTTAAAGACAATGTGATGTCGAGTCCTGAACAGTCACAATCACTCCACATCAGTGACAGAACTGGCTGCAGAGGAGAAGTCAAACTTGTTTCTGGACTCGTGACTCGAGAACAACAGATTATGGAGATCTATCCAAGATAGCTTTGTGCAAATAACTTGCATCAGACTCGTAATGCACATGTTTCATCATGACTACACTGGCAACATGTGGAG